TTGAGCACTTCCAGTGTCTGTGCATTCTTTGTTTGGAGCACCAGTGTCAGAGGCTTAAACTGGGATAAACCCTTCTCTCTTGTACTGTAGATAGTGATCCTGGCACAGAGAACTGCTGCTCATAGTACTTTTTATATGTGTTGAGTAGCTGTCGTTTAGATGGGATTAGATACAGATGTCCTAACACTGACTCCTTCTTTGAAGGAGGTGGGGAGAAGGTTAGTGAAGAAGAGTTGAACGGAATGTTTTGGTATTTTGCTTAAAAACACATTTTAACTGGGTTCTTTTCAGACGGTCAGGCTCCAGGTAATTCATGCTTCAGCGTTCTCTTCCCAAGAGAAACCCAAGGAAAATCACATGTTCAGCTTAGCAGAATCCCTCAAAGCACATTTAGGGAAGAGTATACAGTGGGGAGAGTAATAGTAATTTCCTGAAGTACTATTCCACTTCTGAAATTGGGCCTCTTCAAAATGCTCCTTATTAACATAATTACAGTGCTTTGAGGTCTCTTATGGTTTTAAAACATTCTTATAGCTTGATTAATTCAAGTTCTCTTGCAATTTTTACCCGATTTTTCTTAGGATTTAAAGTCTCTAGAGCAGATCTATTTGTGAGTATGAAAGAATAAATGAATACCCAGAATTGCACATTCTGCTACAGCTGGAAATCTTCAGTTTTAGTTCTGTATTCTTACAAGGCTACTGTTGTAGTATAAACTCGCTGAAAGCTTTCCAGCTCCAAATGAACCATAAAGCAAATTTTCAATGCTGTGATCAAATCTTTTATGAAATATTAAGCTGCATGTGTACCTTCATTGTTTTTAGCAACTGTTAAATTTGGTTACAGAGAGCGAAAGAAAAGAATTGAAAAGCCCCGAAGGTTCAGCAGGAGCCACAGCCGGAGTCCGAGCCCGCCGCCTTTCCGGGGACGAAACACAGCTATGGATGCACAGGAAGCCTTAGCCAGAAGGTCAGAAATCGTGGTGGTTTTAATCATATGTGACAAGAATAAGCTCCTGGTGTTGATTTTGCATGTCTAAATATTTTTATTTTCGTGTACCTCCAGGCTGGAAAGAGCAAAGAAATTACAAGAACAGAGAGAGAAGGAAATGGTTGAAAAACAGAAGCAACAGGAAATGGCTGCAGGTAGTGCTTGTGTATTAGATTAATTCTTGAAGAAAAGTGTGAGTGGAAGATAGATAGGCTTATGTTACAGGAGTGTTGCAGTCTTATCCAACAGTTGGACAGGTTGTCTTTAATTGTTAAAAAGAAACACAACAAGAACTAGGAAATGTTAAAAAAAAACAAAACTAAAAATAAGGAACAAAACCCCAACAAAAATGATTGAGATTTCTTATTACTTGCTAGTGTACAAGAAAAATGTTGTATTTTGGGCTGTTACATGATTTTATGATGGTCATTGGGCTGCTACTTGATCAGAGGTGTTTAAAACCACAAGGTGCATTAGCTTCATTTGTTTCTGGTTTACTAAAACTGGAGACATGTTCCTTAGTTGAGAAATCACATGAATTTTATAATGCATTTGTTATCTGTGCACTTCCAACTTCTATTGAATGGAAGTGTTTTTTGTTAGGTTCTGGGGCAGGTTGGTGGTTGGGTTTTATGTGTTGGGGTTGTTTCCCAAAGTCCCAAGTTCTTTCTAGCAAGTTCCCTTTGTTCCTCAGCGGCTGCAGCCACGGGAGGCTCCGTCATCAACGTCGCCGCTCTGCTGGCATCGGGGACACAAGTGACCCCTCAGATCGCCATGGCAGCTCAGATGGCAGCACTCCAGGCCAAGGCACTGGCAGAGACTGGCATAGCTGTGCCCAGCTATTACAACCCAGCAGCAGTGAACCCCATGAAATTTGCTGAGCAAGAGAAGAAGCGGAAGATGCTTTGGCAAGGCAAAAAGGAAGGGGTAATGTTGGCTTTTCTTACCTTCATGAACTCGTTTGGGGATATCTTGCACTCAGTTTAAGGGTGCTGATGAGTTTTATTTCCACCTTTCTTATCTCATAGCAAGTTTTAATACCAACCTGAAGTAAAACTTCAGTAAAACTGGAAGTTGGACTTCGATGATCCTTGTGAGTCCCTTCCAACTAAGAATATTCTGTGATTTAGGAGTGAAAGGACTAGGGTCATTAGTCCTTCAGTGATAAATAGTTGTGACACAAGACTCAAGGAAATCCCAAATGTCATAAAGCTTCAGAGGTATAGTCGGATCTTAGTGTTATTTTTGTGAGTTTACCTACAACTTGCAGCTATACATCAAATCCAGATGCTCTCCCTTTGCTGGGAAGGGATGGCTAAAGTATGGAATGAATAACCTCTTTTTGGCACTGTAGAGATTTTTCATGTGGTGGTTGTGTCCTCTCCAATTGCAGATTTCAAAGACCAGTCTGTCGACCTTGCTGGTAACTTTTCAGGAGCAGAATAATGCAATATTAACCCTAACAAAAGTCGTAAATACAAATAAGCCTTCAGGCTTTTGTGCTCTTGTCAAATTTGCCTTTGCAATTAGTGAAATAAGAACAGCACCTCTGGCAGTTGCTTTTTCAGAAAATTGCTGGATTTCAGTAGAGCTTTTGCGTGCTGGTACTGTGGAAAAAATGGCCGCTTTAATATTTGTATTTTTGTCTTTTGTTACTCTGGTATTAGAAGTGTTTGTTGGCCTGGTTTCCATCTTGCAGCAGTTACACAACAAGCTCTCTTACCTTTCCAGACTGCTCGACAAGATGTGGAAAACAAGCCCAGTTCCCATGGCAATGGTGGGAGACAAAAGGGAGGGAGGGCAGGAGAACCCTGAATGCTCTCTGGGCACTTCTTCCTGAATTATGCTCTATATTGATTAGTTGCAATAAACAAATTCATTTTTCCATAATTTACTTCAAGCTTGAATTCCAACCTTTTGAAGTTTCAAAGGAAGGAACATAGGTTAGGTAGGCTTCCCTCACAAAGAGCTCCTGTGAGGATGCTGCAGGAGCAATGGCAGACTTGGAAACCTTTTACCTCCAGCTCTGGTACAGATGGGCTTTGTCTTTAGCACTGCTCCTTTGCTTGCTGCTCTATTGTGCTGTTAATGGAATGTTATGTAAAAAGGTGACGTGGTTTTTTGTTTTTTGTTTTAATCTGAACAGGATAAATCACAGTCTGCAGAAATATGGGAAAAACTAAATTTTGGAAACAAGGACCAAAATGTCAAATTCAGAAAACTGATGGGCATTAAGGTAAAGAATTCTGAATATACAATTAAGTTTATTAATTGTAGGATAATGATTTAACTTTTAATAAGTTAACCTGATGTAATTAAGAGCTTTTAAGTATTTATTAAGTTCAGAAGCAGCATCTAGATCTGAATTAAATTCAACTGGGTAAAGGCCTGTGTGTGTTTCTTGACACAGAAAATCTGCTCTAGAATGTTGCAGCAATAAACCCAAATGCTTGAATTCTTACTCTTGTAAAAAGGAGTGAAACTCACTTGCCCACAGTTGATGTTTGTGTTGTGTTTCCAGAGCGAGGATGAAGCTGGCTGCAGTTCCGTGGATGAGGAGAGTTACAAAACACTGAAGCAGCAGGAGGAGGTGTTCAGAAATCTGGATGCACAGTATGAAATGGCGAGATCACAGACTCACACGCAAAGAGGAATGGGATTGGGGTTCACATCTTCCATGCGAGGAATGGATGCAGTTTGAAAAATGGAAAAAAAAAAAAAAAAACAAAACGAAAAAGGCTGTTTTGAAGTTTGGGACTGTGGAAGGTTCTTGTTCACATGTTGGGTCCTTGTTCACCAAAAAGCTAGCATTCTAGCTTGCATGGGTGTTGCATTGACTTTAATTTATTGAAAAATACAATTTTTTTTGTAAATATCAGATTAGTGATACTGGTGTTAGTGTTGTAATCAGGTTATACCCACTTCCATTAAACTTGACAGAACTAGAGGAGGACAGTATTTTTTAGTTAAAGTTCTACTTTTCAAACCAAGCAGCAGACGGGATGAACTCATACATGGATATTTCGTGTCCACTGTCTTGTGTACTTTTGTACTTTAACCTTGTACAGTTATTTTCAATTCTTGAAACATGAAAGAAACATTGTGTAGATGTTATTTAGCGGTCTGGGCCAATAGGCACATAATCCAGTGCAGAAAAACTGGTTAATAATAAAGACATTTTTTTTCTCTAAAGTTATTTAGTAATTTTTCTTTTGGGCTGAACTTCCATAAGCCAGTTAGGAGAAGGGAAAGCTTAAGGAGGTTTTGCTTTGGTTCTTTTGAATTAGGATTTGCCTAAAATACTGCAGTGAGGGGCCTTGCTGCACACATCCTACTTCAGATATTTTTGTCCTGCACGCTGCTGCTGCCCCATCTCTCTCCACCGCTCACCTCTTCTCAGAAGAGGAAGAAAAACTCCAAAACCGGGAGCGGTGCCGGTTCTGGAGGCAGGAGCGCGTCCTCCATTGTGAGTACGACAAGCGCTGCGGGGCTGGTTCCGCGACACGCCGCCTACACCTCCCAGCGTGCACCGCGCCTCGCAGCCACTCGCCTCTGTGGTTCGCCGCCGCGATGCACACTGGGAGTTGTAGTCCGCGGCGCGCGTCGTCCCTCCCGCCCAGCGCTTCCCGCCGCCCTTTGCCCTCCGCCCCGCCCTTCCTGCGGCGGCCAAGATGGCGGCGGAGGTGGACTTCGGGGACCGCGAGCTCTTCGGGCAGCTGGAGGGCGAGCCCGGGCCGCCCTCGCCGCCCGCCGTGGACGAGCCGGACCCGCTGCTGAAGCTCTACCAGCGGCTGCGCGATCGCGACGAGACGGTGCAGCGGCTGAGGGCGGAGAATATCCTGGCGGGAGAGGCAGGGCCCGCGCCGGGGCGGGGGAAGGCGGGCGCGCCGCTGCTGCTGCCGGTTCCCTTCCGGGCCAGCCGGTCCCGGCCCTCAGGGACGCTCCGGCTTCTCCCCGGGGCTCTGCGGGAAGGAGCCCTCGGTCTCCGCCGGGGCCCGAAGGGGGAGAGGACTGAGCTGGGCGTTGAGGGGAGCCCAGTGTGTGCTCCCATCCTCAGAGCACGTTTTCCATAGAAACTTTTATCCTCGGAGCGGCCGCCCCAGCTCAGCCCCGGGATGCGGGCACGGCTGCTGGAACGGCTGTCACTGAATCCCTGCCTTCTGCTTTTCCAGGGACAGCAGACAAAGTGTGTTCACTTTGACAATCCGTTTTATCGCAGCTACAAATAATTTCTAGTAGTTGAATTGTGACAGGTTTCCTAAAGAGTTTTTGGGTTTGCCGCTGCAGCAGAGTGGAATCTGAAATGTGTTATAATTTATTTCCCATTTGCAAGTACATATGTGCTACCATTACCTTACTTTTGGTGACGATCACAGATATTTTTAAAATAAAATATTAATCTCTTCCTGCAATCATTGTATGTAAGGAATGGCGCTGCTCGGATTGTCATATCTAGTCCTCTTTTTTAAAAATTTCTTTGTTTATTGTGTTTCTTCAGCAGTAGGTGGATTTTCAAATAATCCCGTGTGCAGTGAAAGGGAAGGACTGAAACCCTTTTCGTTGTTCTGTGAAATTCTTGCTTGGTGTGTTCTTGCTTGCTTTGGGTGTGGGTTTGTGTCTTCCAAAGAAAATCGTAGTCCTTAACAATAAGTTAACATCAGGAACTCAAAAGGAAGCTGAGAATTCTGACTCGCCCTAGGTATGTTAATGCTGACCTGAAACACTGAATTATATAAAGAGAATATTATTTATATGTGTGTATAAATAGAGTTTATCTAAGGTAAAAGCTGTCTGCAGTAACATCTGCTACATCTTATTTCCATGTCCCAATCCCTGCTCAGTGTTGGGCTTATAAAATTCCATTCCAGTTTCTGAAAAGTCTTTTGGAGTTGAATAGCAGGAACTCACTTGGTATTGCTTTAATTCTTACTTATTTTTGTGTTATCTTCTTAATGAAACTCACTTGGTCTTCAGGGAAACAATTTTAATGTAAAGTTCAGGAGTGAGGAAAAATTGCATTCAAATGCTTGAATGAATCTTAGAGAAGATTCTCTCTTAGAGAACTCTGTTCATACAGAATTAAATATTTCTGTAGTGTGGGAGTGTTTTGCTCTCCTTCCACCTCACACCAACCTTCTTTGCTCGAGAGGATAATTTCTGTTTAAGTGGATAGGAACTTCTTAAAAATACAGATTTTATATTGACCAAACCTTCCTCCCTCTGTGGGGTCCAGACTCAGCTGGGATAAGAGTGGTGGGGAATATTTACTGTACCCATTGTCTGTGTTCTCTGCTGTTCTAGTGGGATCTCAGTGGAAAACCCCAAAGTTGATGGACCTCTGCTGCAGATTTTATTTATGAACAATGTCATTACTAAGTAAGTATTTTCAAGAAAAAACAATTCTGACAGGAACTGTGCTGTGCCCAAATTGGGGATGTAGATTTTATTCAATAACATAAACTATTGAAGGGAGAGGAGAAGGGATAATGGCAGTACAACAGGAGTTCTGTTCATTAGCAATATCTGATTTTATCATGGAATGAAGGGTGACTTCCAGGAATTTGGAGTGAGTCTGAAGAGCAGTTTGAATTTCAGGAATGTTGTGGGTAAAAGATAAGAAATTAATCTTCCCTGCCTCTAAGTACATTTTTTGCCACACTCAGGTGCTGTCTAATAACAGATTGCATTTGTATTGGTGGGGGTTGAGAGGGGGAGAAAAAAGAATTGGATTTTCCCCTTTTTAAAGTTATTTGGTAAATGCTAAATGCTTAAGAAAAGAGACATCTGCTCTTTGTTTCAGCCTTGCTCATGGTTTCATGTGTTTGTACTTCATCCTAGGCGGTATCATCAAGAAATTGAAGATTTTATTTATAGTTTAGTTCAAAAATATGAAGAGCAGAAGAAAAGTGAACAAGAAAAATCACATTTGAATGCTAAGCCACAGGTACCTTAAAACTCTGATTGTTCTAAAATGCTTCTTCTCCATCTCTGTAATGGGAAAATTGAAATATTGCACTGTTAAACAGTAGCAAAAATCAAACCAAGCAGTTGTCAAACAAATGTACAACGGTTTGTTCCCAAAAAATAGAGCCCAGGACAAGGGAAAGATCCTTTTTGCCCACGAAAATGCTTCTTGGAAATTGTCCCTATTGAAATTTCAGTAAAAGAAAATAAGTTGGTTTAAATAATTAAGTAGAAAGCTTAATGAATCCTCTTCTGAGAGTATTTAGCCTAACTCTGAGGATATATAAGAAACCAAAAAAACAACAGAACCTGAAAATCTGCACTTTCTCCTCCTAGTTTAGAATTTAAATTCTAAACAGTCACTGTGGGTGAAAAGGTGGAAAGGCACATTTCTCTCCATCTTTCCCTCAGCTTTTTTGATGAGAATGAGAATTATGCAGTGTATTTGTCATCAGAGAAAGCCTTAGCAAGGAGCTGTGTCCTGCTTTGGGCAGTGGAAAGCTTCATGACTGATGTGGGAATCTCCATCCTGCTGTTGGTGAAAGGACAGAAGCTGAACCCCACATTCTCTGCCTTTTACATCATTCATTCAGGAGCTCTGTTAATTTAAATTAATATTTTTCTTTTTCCTGTCAGCCCTCCAGCGTTGTTTTGGAAGAGGATTGTAAAGGAACCAGCTCGAGTTCTGCTAAAAAAGTGAAAGAAGCTTTTAGTGTAAGTTTTTGAATGTTCACTTCCATGGTAGGTCTGACTCTTCATTCTCCACATTCAATGTACACTGCCATTAAAATAAGATGTACTATTATTACACTGATAAATGAAATTTAAATTCAGCATGGTTGGGCTACATCAGTGCAAAAAAATCTTACATGTGCAGTTTTGGGCTTGTATTAATTGTAAATTCTTACAGAATGGGGAAAAAAACCTGGAAGTATTTCAAGCAGTGTAAATGTATAGAAATGCTACCAATCTCACCTAAATACTGACACATTTCTGACAATTCTCTGACTTTTTTTCTACAGGTTGTAGGAAGTGTTCTGTATTTTACCAATTTTTGTCTTGATAAACTGGGACAGCCTATTTTAAATGAGAATCCACAGCTGACAGAAGGATGGGAAATACCTAAGTATCCTGTTTGCTAAAACACCTTTCTTTTTTCTGTTTGTCAAATCCAAAGAATTCCAGTGGGTAAATTGAACTCAAATTCTCTTCAGTAGTTTGTGTTTATATCAAAACCATACCAGTCATTATAGATGGGATGATTTAATGAGTCATTAATGGCTTTTTTTGTTCTAAACAAAGAAGTATTTTGATATCATTGACTTGCTGATTGCTTTCCTGAGAGTGAATGCCTAATTGCCATAAATACATCTTGTGAATTTAGGGATTTTCTTGGCCAGTCCCTCATCAGGTTTGGAATGACTGCTTGTTGCAGATTGAATAAGTATTCTTGCTCCATAAAATCCACTCTTTAGGAGAAGAAAAGGGCTTGGGAAACTCAAATATGCTGTAAAATTCTTTTTTTCCAAATATGGGAGCTAGAGAGAAAGTATTTTATAAAAATCTAATTATGGTATGCTCTTAACATGCATCCATTTTACAGTTGGTCCTTTATTGTTAATTAAAGCCAATGTTATAAAAGTGGAATTGAGGGAAATGCTGAAAAAAGCTGGAAAATACTGAAATGTTTTTTGATATTGATGTCTTCTATGACAAAAGAAATTGGACAAGAAATTTCTCAAGTAACATCATCTCCCCAGGTTTCCAGTATTGCTTCTGTCCTGGAAAGACTCAGGACAAGAAGAAGTTTCAGAGTTCATTTCTGCAATATCCAGTTCTTAAGCTTGTCATCAAGGTCATGTCAGTGTTAAAAAATTACTTATATCTGAACATAAATTGCCAATTTACAATCTCCCAACCTCTGGATGAAGGAAATAGATGCCTAATGGGAATTTCTCCTAAAATGCCAAGTTAAGTGTGGCTGAACTGATTCTGAGGGAAATGGTTCATCAGGCACTGGCTTCTAAATGAGCAAAGTACTGCTCTCAGTGAATCTGTCATTTTGAAACTCTTATCAAAATGTGGTTTAATGAGATTGCTGTGAAGAATTTCAGAATTATTATCTGGAAATCTCTGCCTGTAAACAAAAGGGTTGTAGTTTTAGCAAGTGCTGATAAAATATTGGGTAGAAATTTGTAGAAGGAAACAGCATAAGTTTATAGCAAATAGATTATAGTAAATATCATTTTATAGTTTATATCCAGGGCTTCATATCAAGGACCCATTTGTAACTTAATGCAGATGAGTCAGTGTTCTGTTCAAAGCACTATTAAGTTTTCATTGATATTTTAAACAAAATTGAAATTTTGCTTCATCCAGTAGCAATTCCTTATTGAAATCTAAAGATATCAGCAAGTTTTCAGCCAGATTCTCTCCCTAGATGGACAAGAAATACAAGTAAAACCCAAAAGGTTTGTATTATTCTTAAATATAAAGTTTTGAGCTGAAAAGTTCAGATGCACTCTGTGATTATTGCCCAGTGTCTTGGACATACTTGAGCAATGAGTATTTAAATTTAAATTAAATAAACCAGAGCTGAGCATCGCAGTTTTTTATTGAGTTTCTTTAGGAAGGGCCTAAAGTCAGTGTGTGAAAACTTCCTGAATTTTTATACTTACTTCTTCTTTTTCTTGTCTTTATAATGATTGGTTTGTCACCTTTGCACTGGTGCTGTGTCATGGTTACTGCTCTGTAGAACAACTCCTGTTGTTGTTATTGTTGTTCTCTGCCTATTTGATAGATTTTTAAGACAGGCTGATGTGAGAGTTGATGGTGTACAGTTTATGGGAGGTCAGAAGTGAAGGGAATTCAGTTCCCAGCTGGAGTTACCTTGGACACTTGTGCCACACTTCTTGTCTCCACTTCTGGTTCCCATCCCAATGCAGTAAAAATTAATGTTCAGAAAATAAATCTTCCTCTCAAATCTTGGTATTTCACCCCAGTAACTTTGCACACTTTACAGTGTGCATGTAAAGGAAGATTTAAGTTGCAGCCAGCTGCAGTTCCATTCCAGGTTTTCAGTGCAGCTTCACAAAATGCATTACTTGAAACTGTGGGCCAGGACTTTCCAAAGAAATGGTTGTGCTCTACTGTTTGTTTTTGCTGGTGACTGATTCCCAGTATTGTGGAAGGGATCTGACCTCTGATAATACCATTTCCTATTTCCCTCTGCCCTTTCCTCATTTCCCATGTTCTCCTTAGCACTGTGAAATCAGCAGCATTCTCTATTTAAGCATTGATAGAAATTTAAGAGAAGCAGAAGACAGCACATGACATCAGCATTCATTGCTTTTTGGTTTTGTCTTTCTCAAGTGTAAGCCTTAAAATCTGTCAAGAATGAAAATAATGAGGAATATTGAACATTGCAAAGTTTTGCTTTCAGGTTTAATTTGTTGTGCATTTTTCAAGCAGGCCCAAACCTCATTGTTTCAATTGTGGTTCTGAAGATCATCAAATGAAGGACTGCCCAAAGGTAAAGTCACCAGTATTCCAAAGCCTGCTGCTCTCCAAGCTTTGTGTTGGGTGAAGGAGTGCATAAATTGTAAGTTGTCCAACTCTAAACTTCCCAATTGTATTATCTTTAAGCCACGAAATGCAGCTCGTATAAATGAGAAGAGAAAGGAGTTTTTGGAAGCTTGTGGTGGTGATTCGGGCAATCAGAATTTTCAGCAGCGTTACCATGCAGAAGAAGTAGAAGAGAGGTTTGGAAAATTTAAGCCAGGAGTAATTAGGTATCTCTTTTCTTTCCATTTGCTTTTTTGGAATACCTCTTCTGCCTTTGGAGTGCCAGATTTTAATTGCCAGAGTTCATTAAGTCCATCTGCTGCTCTTTACTATGAGTGTATTATGTTTGAATTTGCTAAATAGAATATGAATAAATTGCAGGGATATCTTTCAAATAAAAATTCACTGCTAGCTTGACAGTCCTACCCTTCCTCTAATGGAGGGAGATAAATATTACTCTTTGACTTCTCAAATTGCAAATTTATTATGTTCCTCTTAAAAACATATATTCAAAAGTCTGCAAATTTTCAGCTGTGAGTGTCCCTTCCTCTCTATTCAGAATGTTCAGAGAAATCACAGTATTGTGTGGCAGTCTCCAAAAAAATCACCAGTAAATTCAGTGTCAAGGTCCACCCTTCCTGTTGATAGCTGCAGTCAAGGCCATGAGTCAGAAGGAGCAGGTCAAGTGGGTTTATTCTTGGTGTAGAATTAAATCTAAAAAAGTGTTTAAGCATATCAGCGAGGCAACAAGTTATATTTCATATCAGAGCTGATTTTCATCTAGAGTTACTATATCTGAGGTTGAAATGCAGCACAACACAGTCTGAGCTAAAACTCCACAAAATCTTCACAGCCTTTTGTCAGTAACGAAGGGGAATTATTTTTCTGGGTGACGTTTTGTTCTGTGTTTGTTTTCTCGGCTCAGCGGGGTCCTTCAGGACGCCCTCGGTGTGACAGACAAGAGCCTGCCCCCGTTCATTTACCGCATGCGGCAGCTGGGCTACCCCCCGGGCTGGCTCAAGGAGGCCGAGATGGAGCACTCGGGACTGGCTCTGTACGATGGCAAAGGTGAGCACTGCGGGGCTGGAATGCAGCTTTACTGTGAGCCTGTGTGCTGGCTGCACCCTGCTCAGCACGTCATAAAATCACTGCTTTGTAAACCTTCATCGTCCTCGTGGAAGGGGGAGAAAGTTGAAAACTGATTTATTTTATTAATGTGATCATGCAGGTTTTTTATCAGCTGTGATGTGACAACAGAACGAGTTCCATAATGGTTGCATTGCAAAAGTGGGATTTCACTGTTAGAACCTGGAGTTGTAAAACTGCAAGACTTGCAAATCTCTTGTTGTCCAATTTCCTCTCCCTTCTTCTCTTACATGTTATGAAAGAAGCCATAATCCTCAATAAATTACTCTTACATAGGAACAAAACCACCAGCAAGAAAGCAACACATTTCTTGGAACCCAGTTTAAGTAATTTACCATCTTTTTGCTAATGACCATGATTTATGCTGCATCTCACAACAGTCCTGATGCCAAATTCTGAAGGTAGCAGTGAAGAGAAGTTGTGTGGGAATACCCAGTTGAGTTTCTGGGTAGGGTTCATGCAGTATCTGATGGATTTGGTCACTGTTCCTGCCTCTGGGGGATTTCAAAACCTTCTATCAATACTTACATTCAAACCTCTGTTTTAACATCAATAATAATTTTATTCTGTTGTAGGTGAAGTTGAAGCAGAAGATGGCTCCTCTCCCCAGCCCAGACGTATCACTTATGATGTGTCTAAGTTGGTCAATTATCCAGGCTTTAATATCTCCACTCCCAGTGGGATCCCAGATGTGAGTAGCTGTTCTCTGCCTTCTAAACATGTTGAGTGACAGGAATTGCTTTTAGCCAAGACTTAATGTTTTGTATTCTGCATCTGAATTTCCTTTTAAGAGTCTCTTTTTAATCCTTTACTTAGGGGCTGAGGGTTGTAATTAATGGGACAACTGATGATTGTCATGATTCTTGTGCTTGGGTCTGACAGTGCTTCTGTGGGGATTGTTTCCATTATGAGACCAACAGGAGTCTGGAAGTGTTGTGGTTTATGTTTTAAGTTTGATATTTTTTAAACACAAAACTCCTTGGCTGTTTTTTCCATACATGTAAATTTCCTGAATGTTCTTGGAATATGAAAATCGCTGTGGGTGTTTCCATAAATACAATTTTGATCACAAAAAATAACATCACACCAGTCAGTGCACAACTTCTGCAAAGGTCAGTAACAACTGGAATTAAACAAGTCATAGCAGAAGAACCACATAGTGGGTGCCCTCTTAAGCACAGAGCACATAAGAAATCTCCTGTGGGTGCTGCACTTTTATTTTCAAAAGCATTTTAACCTCCTCTCAGTGAATTCCATCACTGATCTCAATGCCTGTGCATTAAAAAGAAGCACTTTACACCTTTACATTTGCCCATTTAGTGGCCTCCAAATGTATTTTTTCATTCAGTGTTATTAACCAAAGTTCTGTTATTAACTAACCCTATGCAATTATTTCTATTTTCTCTTTTTTTTTTTTTTCTTTTTGCTGTAGGAGTGGCAGATGTTTGGCTCCATCCCCATGCAGCCATCTCAACAGAAGGATGTTTTTGCTCACTACCTTTCTAATTTTCAGGAGGTGAGTATATCTCCTTGTTACCAAAAAAACCCTAATGTTGTCTTTTAGTTAGTGTAGGTCATGATGATTTCTTGCTTGTATCTTCTTTCTGCACAAGGGGACAGACTTTTTATTGACACTAGTGAGGGTGAAATGCTCATTTGGCTTACCTGTTTAAACAAAAAATGGCTTAATGTTTAAAATGAATTCAGTTATTTCATTTAATATAAGCAGATCCCAGTTGTGCGAAGATTTTTAAGCAGTTTGGAAAAAAATTGCTATGAATTTACACAGCCTGGAAGTTCCAGACTCCCCAAATAAATGAGAAGCTTAGTTTCCATAGGCATGACATCCCTCAAATGTGTCTGTTTACACACTGGGTCCCTAAATGATTGTGTAGTTACAAAATTGTTTTAATTCTTCCAGCTGGAAACATTACCCTGTATGGTATAATACTAATTCTTTTTGGTTTTGTGGATAATTTCTCTCCAGCCAAGTCCAAAATCCAGCAGCAAAAGGGCTGCACCTCAATCAAAGTCTCATCATTCCAAACGACCAAGAGAAGACAGTTCAGAGATAGCAGCAGCTGACATGGACCTGGATTCTGGTACAGTCATTCTGCTTTTTTTTATTTCCTAGTTTCAACTTTTATTTTCGACTTAACTTGCTCTGAATTGAAATGTGAAAGTTAAAAGGAGAAGCCAGTGTGTTAGCAGTCGTTTTGGTGGTAAGTAAAGGCAGTGCTGAGAGAGGCCAGCAGTGTCCTGCTGCAGTGACATTTGCTGTGATTGTCACTGTGGTTTTCGTATCTTCCAGTACCAAGCAGGAGGTTTCAGGTGTGCTCAGAGCAATTGCAATGTTATGTTAAAAATTCTGATCTCTTTACTTCAGGAGCATCCTAAAGAAACTTCTGTTAAGATCCCCAAATCCCTAAATATTTGGATGAAATAACATGAATTTGCAAGCTTACAGCTTCTTAAAAATGAGGCAAAGTCAAAGGAGGATTTGATGTTAAGTGTTAGAACAGCTGGAGAAACTTCTGGCTTTTCTTTTGAAATCTGCCATGAGGAATCCTTCAGTGTGTCTCAGTGTGGAATGGCTGGCAGAGTTAAAATCCCAAAAAAACATCCATTTTGGTGGATATGAAAACCCTCACAAAGTTTGTTCTGTCTCAGCTGAAAACCAAGGATGAGAAGATGTAAATCTGGTATTTAATCAAAAAATTGGGACTTTGATTCTTTTCCTGGTCAGATTTCAGGTTCTAAAAGGTGTCTTTTCGTTCTTTCTAGATCTGGAAGGGGCACAGAGATCTCAAACTCCCAACAGTTTTCAGTTCCAACCTCCGCTGCCACCTGGATCTCCATCCATGTCCACTCCTCCTCCCGTGCCACGAGGGACACCCCCACTCACGCCCCCCCAGCCTTCCACACCCACCCACTCTCCCCTCCCCAGGACTGCTCCACCAGCAAACTCTGCCACTGATAGTCCTCAGCCCAAAATAGTGGACTCGGTCATGGATGAGGACACGCTGACCCTGGAAGAACTGGAGGAGCAGCAGAGATTGATCTGGGCAGCTCTGGAGCAGGCAGAGAGCACAAACAGTGACTCTGATATTCCTGCTGACACACCTTTAACTGGGAATTCCCTTACATCATCACCAGCCAGGAATGAAGCAGATCTGGTTGCAGAAGTCAGGTCACCCGAGAAAGTGATCTCAGTGGAAACAGAGTTTTCTGACACCAGTGAGCAGATCCCAGAAAATGAACGTTCTCTACCCAGCCCCAATCTAGAGGACAGTTTGCTTGACTTGAAGGAAAATGCTGACAATGCAGTTTCTGAAGGCCTGCTGGGTGAAACTCTGCCTGCTCCCAATCCTGAGGTGAATGAGGAGGAAAACACAGGTGGTAATAAAGTGCCCACAAGCACTGGATCATCTGTGAAAAAATCTGGATTTGTTCCTGACATGAGCAAGTTTGCTGCAGGCATCACACCATTTGAATTTGAAAATATGGCAGAATCAACTGGGGTTTATCTACGGATAAGAAGCCTGTTAAAAAATTCCCCAAGAAACCAACAAAAGAAAAAGACTTAAATCTTAACTGGTCTTTTGTTTTCTTATGTCCCAAATCCCTTCTGTTTCCCCCCCAGTTTTACAAACTCAGATAACCTCCCTCATCTTATGGAAAAAAGAAAATCTTGACAAATGCAGGTCTGCCCTATTCTTCCTTGGTATTGAAGTCAGTGCAGGTTTCCATCTTGACCAGGACCACCAATGCAGGCAAAAAATGTAGAATTTTCCCAAATTTCATGCTTTCACTAAGGAATAATAGGACTGATGATTTGTTAAGAGCATTTTATTTGCCAATACTCGAGACTCTAAAATGCAGAGTTTGTGATTTGGTGTTCATTATTTTGGCTAAGATTTATATTGTCCTTGAGTTTCAGGTGGATTGGTGATTTTTTTAATATCTGTCCTTTGTACAATAATCTACACTTTATACATTTTGCTAATTATCCTGTAGATAAGTTTAATATATTCGGAACGTTTTTAAAAAGGTCTGATGTTAAGATTTCCCACATCAAAGTCCTGGCAATTGGAGGAAAATAATTGGGGATTACAGTGCTATTTTCACCATTTCAAGTATTTTTATAAATTATTTATGTGGGTCTGTTTTAATTGCCTCTGTATCTTTTGTAGCATCGTCCTTCATGTAAACTTGCCTGTACATACATGTTCGTGGTTGTCTACAGAGGTTTAATAAATGAGCTTTTAGCTAAAGAGCTTTTAATTGGAGTCCTAAAGCAGCAAAATGCTGATTTTTGAAAATCAGCTGCTGAAGAAAATTGGGAAAACAAGCTGAGCAAAATGAGGATGAGTATAGTGAAATATTTTAGGGAGGGCCACAACTGTTGGCTTCAGGTTTTCTTCATCAAGAAACTTTAAAATTTAAAATTCTCTTAGCTATTGAACAGAACCTTGCCATACCCGTTCAGTTTTCATAATCTGAGGAGCTCCCACTTCTGAATGCTTAGAAATGTTATAATCCTGCTGATTAATTGTTCTAACACTTTTTTTCTCCTCCTTGTCTCGGGAGGGACCTGTGGCTGCAGTGACTGTGCATTGTTCAGTTGCCAAGAGAGGGAGCCCTAAACTGATGTTAGGATTCCTTGGAGCTGGTAAAGTCCTTCCAGAAATGCAGGAAAAGTCTCCCCAGCCAAGTGTAAAGCAGAGTAAACCAAAGCATTTTCAAGTATCTGACAAAAAAACTTGGGAAGGGGATTGTCTGTAAGATAATGTGAACTTAATTCTTTCAGATTCTCAGCTTTGCAGTTGGTGCATATTGCACAAAGGTCTTGAAAATAAATTATATTGGTACACTCTGCATTTGAATCTCTATGAGAACCCCAGGCTTTTTGCAGTTAGAGCTTTTATTTATTTGTCTTTCATTTTTTTTCTCCCTAAATTTTACAGGAAGGCAAAACCAAATCACCTTTATGTGTGAATTCTGAGAGGCTGAGAAATCTTTTTGCAGCATTTACCAGTTCAGTTTATTTGGTTGCACTTGGAAAGCAAGTCAAGGTAAATGTTCATCATATATTCTAAAATGAATGGCTTTTTTTCTTCCTAGTTTATAGGAGAAATAGTATTTTTATAACAGAAGTGGACAACAAAACAATGTGCTGTTTCCACCTTCTACACACATTTAAAGAAAGCTTTGTTGGGAAGCTTATGGATGTCTGGCACTTTTTCCTCCTCCTTCCATGGAGTTAAAAGGCAGTAATGACAGTTTACAGGAGCTTTGTGTGCTGCCTCATTGCCACGTGGATGATAAAGGGATGCAGGGCAGGAGGTGATGATTGCCAGTGCACACCTTTGGGGTGTGTTGTGCTGCTCATACTTGAAACACGAAGTTCTCTCACCACACCTTAAAGATCTGTTTGTAATGGCTCTTAGGAAATGCTGCTGCCTGAGTAGGACATGCAGCCTAAACTAAAGGAGTGCCTGTGGTTTCTGTGAGCAAAGCAGAAGAATACACAAGATAAAAATCATCTTTATGTGCTTAGAACCTTTTAATGCTCAGTATGGTCCATCCTCAATCACCCTTCCACGTCATTAATTGGTCACAACAGATAAGCAAAGAGTTGTGACTAAAGTACTTTCATTTGTTATTTCTAAATGTTCCTGTAATGCTTTTTTTCCCCCTTAAAATAATATTTTTGTGATATGTTTTGATCTCAGAAAAAGAGGCAGGACTGTTGAATTTCTAGGTTTAATTTGAGTAATTTAATTTCAAATAAGGATAATCATACAAAATTCTCTGAGAGCGCTCAGAGGTATCTTTTAAATTGTTCTTTTCAACCTTCTCTTTGGAATTGTCATTTCTTTGGAGGTGGCAGTCAGCATGGGAAGTGCTGTGAGAAAACTGAACCAGTAAGTAAAACTCCTCCTGTATTTACCTCTGCTGTAAGACACACAGTTAATTAGAGATGGGGAGTTATCTCTGCTGCTTCTCTCATGATGAGGAATTCATTCATCTGCATCTCTTGGCTGTTTATCTATAATTCACTGTTCTATCAAGTGCTACATATTGTTGCACTGAAGATGCTTGTAATTAGTGAGGTTTTTAATCTGTCAGCTGTGACTACTCAAATGAGTTTTGTATATTGAAACTGCAATCAGATCACACTCTTAAGTCCCAAGGAAAAGCTGAATAGCAAAGTATTTTGGGTCCTTTTAAGTGCCATTCCCATGGTGATGGGTGTGGCATAATAACCTAGATTAGAGCTTAATAAAATGAATGAGTAATAAAATCTGTAATGAAGTGGGTATAGCATGAGCAGGCATCACTCAAATTTTCCCACAGATTCCTGTTGGCATAGTCCTCATGTTTATTTACAGCTCTTGGAACACCAAAAATGTTTTAAAATGCTCATGCATGTCTAAAAAAATCAAATCTCTGCAAAATATTCTGGGTATCAGTCAGGTGGGAAGTTATGTCTTAAAAAGATCCAAATTTCTGACTCGAAATTGTTATAACCCAATTCCCAGCGCTCAAAACGTCAAGAAAAGAGAAATAGCTGAGATTCTAGAAGATATCTGAAAGATGTGGTAGCTGCTAAAAATATTTCACTGCAAGCTCTGTGAGGCAGCATAGCTGGGGAAAAAAAAAAAAAAAAAGGCAAAATGAAGAGGAGGAGAAAGCTGCAATGTAATTCCAGTGTTGCAGTTGCCATGGAACCCCGTAGCACCTTCAGTGTGTGCCAGGGCTGTGCTGCCCCTGGGAGGGGAATTGCCTCTGAAGATTGATGCTGTTCCTGAGAATTCAGTGCAGAGTCATTGCTACATTTTGGGGGGTGGCAGGGGATGAATCAGAGGGAGGAATTGGTCGTGATTCCTGGAGTAGCTTGAAAACAGGATGGGTTTAATAGAGTGGTAATGACTGAGTGACAATTGGACACTTCCTAGACTTCAGACAACTACAGCAGCAGGGATGTTACATAAGATTTTTTGCAACGTGAGTTTAGTGGTCACCCATGACTGAATGAATATTTCTTTACCCGTTCTTTAGAATTTAGCACTCGATAGGAACAAAATCCTTCTGCTTGGCTTCGCTGTAGGTGAGAATTCAGCTTTTATTGGTATTTACATAAGTGCTAGAATGATTTGCATCTTTATTTATAGACTGGTTTCTCAGTTATCAGGGAAATGAAACACTCATCAAGAGGAACATTACTGTTAATTTAAGTATCTTGTTTAAACCAGAATGCAGAAAGGATTCTTTTTTAATTTGTTCAAATACTGTTCTCTGTTGTTTTACCCATGTTAGGTAGAAAAATAATGTAAAATTGGATGAAAGCTTGTCTTGAGTAACTCACCAAAGAACAGGGGTTTGGAGAGCTTTTATTGCTGCTGGGTAGTCTGGCTGACCTGGGGAAGGGAACCAGTAAGTACATTAGCAGTGAAAAGACTTTTTGCAGCCTTTAGAGAAAAGAAACTACAGAAAATAGTCGTGCAAGTGCTGGGATTTTTGAAGCAGCACTTCAGAGATTTTTTTAAAAAGCAATTAGCTGCCTTTTCCGTAGCAGATGTGACCATCAGTTCTGTATAGGAATTGCCAGATGTTCATACTGAAGAGATCATTCAGATGGAAAAAAATCTTTATTCAAAATTCTCATACTTGGGTGAATACATCCCATTGAGTAGAAAAATGGATTTTTTCAGTCAGGAGATCCTTACATTCAGTTCTTAAAGGACAACATTTCAGATCTCTAGAAAGCTTCAACAACCTTGTAGCCATTACAAATCTGAAAAATGGCAGAAACAATTGCAACTGGTGTTCCCACATTATTGAGAACAATTTTCAAGTGAGCCTTGTACTTGTGGCCAGGATGCCAGTAGTTATGTTGAATTTCCCTGGAGCACCCAGCAATTCCTGTTCTCATGGAGTTATGAGAATGCCTGATTATTATTTGTTGACTGATCTGATCATGCAGATCAGAAAAGAGCCACCAGGACTGGACTCAAAGGTGTTCTGCCTTTCAATCATACCTAATCCTGTATAGGAATGTGGTTTATAGCACCAGGATCTTTGATTACAATGATTCCTACAAATTGGCTGTGCCCTACTGGTGCAGACTGGTAGACACAGGCTGTCAGGCATTTCCAGCTGGGATGAATTGAAGTTACAGTTGCTCCAAAGCTACATTTTCATGGTATGAAGTTGATTTTAGTCAAAGGATGGATAACAAACTCTCTTTTTTTTTTCCTACAGGTCTACAGGATCTTGAAGCTGAGTCTGTTCAGTAGGAAATTACTGGCACATTCCCTTGGTCTGTGTGACATTCTCAATTCTTGCCTTAGTCCAGGACATTTTTACTGTAGCCTTGCAAGGGAGTGAAGCAAAGTATTTACACATTTAAACCATATTTTATCCATTTATTTCCCCACTGAAACTGCTTCCACATGATGACAAGTTCTACAATAACAGCCCAAAATTGCAACTTCTAGTTTTCATCTTTAAGCTGTCTTGTAGTTGCTGCACTCTGTCCTAGATGCATCAGTCTGATACTGCTTATACAATTTTAATGCTGTGCACTGAACTGCAAGCATTTGAGATGGACTTACATGGTGGCAAATTAACTGAGAGACAAAACATCATATTAATGATGGAGAATGATAGATACACTTAGAGAAAAACCCATTCTGTGTTAGTATCAGATCAATACAGAAAGCTCAAATCTCCACCAGCAGAAAGAAACACAGGTTCACCACTGCAGCTCTCAAGCCAGCAGATATTTTAGGCAAGTGTTCTTTAAAGTTAGTACAGCTCTCCAGTTTCTACCCTTATTGCAATTTTTGTGTTAGGGATTATTTCCATAGCTAGGAGCTGCAGAATTTTTTTTTTTTTAATTAAGTGATCTTTTGCTGGTTCTGCACTTCTAAATACAACCCAATGTTTAAATCCTGAAGTCCTTGTTCAGCAAAACTTTTATCAAATTTTGCAGGGAGAAAGAGGAGTGGCTGTACATGGATTCAAATATGTGTTTCACCATATAATGGCCATGCCAAGAGATTCTGTTTAAACGTTTAGGATATGAAATTCCAACAAACATTGCTGAATGCTGATGTAGTTGAACCCTATTCTTTGGGGAGTGCATCACACCATTTTGTGCTTTACCGTGCTGGATTCGTGCCAAAGAACGAAGCCAAAATGAAACACAAATTGCAATCAGTCCCCAGCAATGGAACTGCTTTCTCATCACCCTTTTGTTCAAATGGCATCATGCAGAAAGCAAACAAGCTATGAGACTGCAAACTGAGGTTTGCTTTGTGAGGAATTCAGCGCTCATGGGCCAGCTCTGCCTGTTTATAGGAGGGGAAGAAGTGGAGCAGAGCTGTTTGATTCAGCCTTGAAAATCGGTATTAAATTGCTGATGATGGCGTTGGAGCTGCTGCTCCAGCTGTTTAAACTTTAGCAGTGGGATAACGCCAGCTTCCAATTTGTTGCTTCACAAACACAATGAAAATAAAAATATTCAGTACTTGGAGATGATAAATTTCTGCATGATAAATTTCCGGGCATCAGGACAAAAGGAAAATGGAGCGAAGCAGCAGACAGTGAAGTTATTCACCCACTAGAGCGATGTGCTTCACACCTCCCCGTCTGTGCCCACCCTCTCCCCCTCCCACCCAGCCGGGCCGTGCCGCAGCGGCGGCTCCGGGACCACCGGGCTCAGCCCGGGCCGGGGGCTGCGGAACAAAGCGGGGGGCGGACAAAGAGAGGGGAGGGGGCGCGGGGAGCTCGGGGGCACCGCCGGTACCGCTGGTGCTGGTGCAGTCCCCGCCCCGGCGGGCGCAGACGTTGTGCCCGCCCCGCTCCGCCTCCTGCGAGCCGGGGCGGCGCCGCTGCAGAGGGGGAGCGGGAGCAGGAACGGGAGCGGGAGCAGCAGCCGGAGGAGGAGGAGGCGGCGGGAGCTGCGCTGGCGGCGGGGCCGGTGAGGCGGCGGAACCGGGGGGGGGTGGGAACCGCCCTGAGGAGCGCACGGGGCCGCGACAGCGCCTGAGGGCGGGGGGAACCGCGGCCGCCGCCTCCCGCCTCGGGGCCTCCGCGCTTCCCGTCCGGGCGCCGCGCTGGGCGGGTCTGAGGGCGCGGGGGTCGGCGCCGAGGAGCCGTGAGGGGAGCGGCGGGGCCGGGAGGGACGGCGGGGGGGCCGGGCCCCGGCGCTCAGGGCTGTTAGCGGCCGCCACACGTGCTGGGCTCCGGCGGGGGCCCGGCCGAGCCCCGGCGGGACGGGGCGCTGAGGAAGCGGAGCAGCAGCAGCAGCAGCGGGGCGGCCTCGCCTCCCTCAGCCCGCCGGGTGCTTGTCCGGAGCGGGGACGCGAAGGTTGAAGGTTGGATCGCAGCCTCTGCTCCAGTCTCGCCCCGGGAAGCTGCGGCGCTGTGCTGGGTTAGTGGTGGCTTGAGCGGTTGATTCTGAGGGAAGAGGTCTGGCTGTTTCTTGTATTCCTTGATAAGTGCTGCAGTTCCCAGCATCCTGCATTTACGTAAGGATATTTTACTAATAATCTACCTTGGCGTTTTTGGATTTTTTTTTATGGGCGCTCCCCATCCTCGCGTTGATATAAAAGCTGCTGGTTTCCAGGTGAGCTGCTCTGGCATCCCCTCAGGTGCCTCAGGAGAGTTTGCTGCCATGTTCTAGGCAGGGTCAGAGCTGCGGGATTCCCAGGCACAGGCGCTGCTCCAGGCCCCTCCTGTTCCCGCTATGGAGCTGAACCTCAGGCGATGCAGTGCTCCCTTTTCTGTGCCATAGCTGTCATGGGGCACAAGGTAATTGCTGCTGTTACTCACAGGGTAATGTGGCTCCTGCTGCATTAAAAAAAAAACAGGAGTTACTTTTCCCTTTCATCTTGGTTCTGATTCCGTGCTTTAAATAATTTTTCAAAATATAAACAAACAAAAGCCGACACCAAAGAAATTTTCCGAAATAGAGCATGTAAGTAGAGAAAATTTACTCTGTGATGGTATATGCTGATGATTAAAAATATGACTGTGAAATGAAGACTTGTTCCTCCCCACCCCTTCACTTGCCCACTGTGCTGAATGGGCAGGGTTTTATAGAAGTTCACAGGTTGCTTTGAGGTCTTTGAGCAGAAGGATTTTAAAGCATGTGATACTTGTGTTGACACGTAGGAAGAAGAGGTACAAAAGAGGAAATGCCTTGATGCCGACTGCTTTGCAAAGTATTTTATTGAAAGGACAGAAATATGCATTCTGAATGCAATGTAAATTTGAAACTAGCAACGGCAGAGAGTGGTTTTCCTGAAGTGTGTCCGTGTGCACCTGCTGCAAGAGTAGGAAGATTGCAAAGTAGATACTGTGAAGGAAAAGTAAACACCTCCCCTCCGCCCACAGCAGCATTTCTTATTCTAAGGAAAGTTGAACTGTTCATCTTTTACATGCTCAGGATTGTTACTTCTTGCTGTAAAATGACAAGATTTCAGGGTTCTTTTCCTGCCCAGTGCTTGTCTATGTGCTGGGAGGATTTCTGTCTGTGCTACAGTGCTCTAAAGCTTTCTGTGTACTGGAGGGAGAGGGATGAGTTGTCTGAAGCAGAAAAGCTCGGAAATGTCACCTTAAATGTCCGTATTTTTATGGATCAAGAATCTTTATGGATTTTATTTGGCAAAAAAAGAGTTTTATATAATTTGTATGGTTACCCTTAAAGAGAAGATCTCAGCTTTCTAGGGAGGGCAGAACACCAGCTGTCTATGCTCATTCCAGATGTGTTCTGTAGGGAATAGCAGCCTCTTTCCTCGTGTGCTTACACTGTAGGAAGGAGCAGTGCTCTCTCTGCTGATTGCTACAACTTCCTAGAGCTCCTGAAGATTTCCTGTCTGACTTTCAGGTTGTATCTGTTTGCCATCTTCTGTCTGAGGATACCCAAGACAGCCTCTATTTGCTCAGCTTGGGCAGATTGCATAATTCCTTTAGTGTTCCTCCCTTTATCCTTTTAGCCCCGTTAAAGTTTTTCTTGGGAGGGACTGAGAATATATCAAAATAGAGCCTCCTTAAAAAGAAATAGAGAGCTCTGCCTTGCCAATATGATTTTTCAGAGCTGCTTTTCTTTCTCTTTCTAAAACACTGGGGTCAAATGTTAACTCCGTATGTTGAATGCAAGTTTTCTAATGTTTGAACATGACAGCCATGAATGAATGCAGCTCTTGTTTAATCCTTTGGCATTCCTTAGGGACTACTGGCTCTGCTGGCACGTATAAAGAGTAACTCACTGGAATCCTTATTGGAGCAGCATGTTTGGAAATGCCTCAGATGGATGGTGTTTTGTTATTTCATGAAAGGCAATTATATACTGCATTAGCTGTAATCTCAGCTGCCCTCAGCCCCATGCCAGTTTCTGCTGGAGCAACCATTTAGTTGGTGTTGACCAGCAGAGCTCTGTCAGCAGCTCCCTGATGATTTAAACACCTCCTGCTTGTTCTCCACATCCATTTGTTTGTGCAGAGTGAAGGTGCACTCTGTGACTGACCCTTAGAAATACCCACAAATCTGGTACTGGCTCCTGGCCCCCAAAAGGCTGTGAAGGATTCAGGAGATGTATCTAAGTGCAAGTTTGTTCTTTAACACCCACCCAAGTTTTTCTACTTGAAACATCTCATTAATTATTTGTAAAAATTAATTAGAATAGTATCATACATTATTTTAATTTATAAGACACGTCTTCACTGTTTCCAGAAGAACCACCATTAAAAGCTGTTCATTTCCCCTGATCTTTATAATCTTACTGTCTGTATTTTTAGCTTACTATGAGGGGAAATTGCAAGGCAGAGAGAGAAGCTCAGTATTGTATAGAATCAGCTTATTTGACACTCTCATTCTGCTGCTCTGCTTGGCAGCAGCATCCACTCAATCACACAATATTTATCTAAGTTCTGAATTTGTACTTGTCCTGAGCTCTCTGCCAGCCCTGCAGCACTCATGGTGCTAATTTCAAAAGCTAAGAACAGGGAGAGCTAAAAAGAGACAGCTGACTTGATATTTTCACCCGGTGTGAAACAGTTACAGTTTCACCCAAGTCTATCAAAATTAAATCCTTACTATAAAAAGCAGCATCTTTGTTTCAGCTGCTTTGGTTGTAATTGTATTAGGGAGAAGTCTTTGTGCCTGTTAATGCTTTGGGGTTTGAGGCTGACAGGAGATGATATTTTCTTTCTCAAAATTTAAATTGTAGGTCCCAAATAACTCGAGACCCTGCTATTCCAAAGTCATAATTTTATCCTGACTGATTGCACTTACTGGGATGGCTGAAGGGCATTATCATCAACAGCAGTCAGTGTGGATAGTCAAACAAATTGTTCTTTTTCTTGTTGAAATGGAGATCTTTGAGGAAAGACAAGAATTTCCTGGGAAAAATGTAGGAAAATTAGTAAGTGATGATAATGGGCTTACCAGAAGAGGTGGCAGTTATTTACTTAGTTGGAAACTTTCTCTACTCCTCAATCCTTGACTCCTTCTGTAGGGAATGATGTGCTGAGGAGGGAGGATCATGTGCTTTCTGATCTTTTAATAGACCAGAGCAGCAGTGTTTCTATAATCTGTATGCACAGTGGCAACTTGAAGTGTTAGTTTGCATCATATTAACAATTATCAGCTCTTCCTGATTAATTAAAGAT